TGATTTCAAAGTATTACATGCAATATGTTTATTTTCTGGTAAAATATAAGTAGAATCCATTCCTCATCTATCAGATATTTGAATGTTTTGACCACTGCACGAGGCTGTGAAGTTCTTAATGAGCAGAAGTGCTAGAGGGAAGACATCTCCATCACATGTCCACAGGTTCCAACCTCAGCTCTGTTTTTTTATTAGACAGATAACCTTGGTCAGGCTGTATCTGTTTTACCTCAGTTTTCTCTTCTGTAAAATGGAAATGATATGGATCCTTTGGGATTGATTGTGAATGTTAAAGACACATTTAACAAATAGGAATCCGAGCTCTAAGTTGGACACTGGGTCAGGGCTTCCCAGTAGAATGGTGGGCAAGACAGAGGACGTTCCTGTGAGGCTTAACAGTTTACCTCTCAATGCAAGACATTTAATACATTGCCTGAACAAAGCTAGATAGAACTAGCATCCATTTCTGCTTTATTCTGTCATACACAAGGCAAGAAATGTAATGAAACATCACTGTGCAAGAATTACCTGTACTGTATCAGGGATGAGAAGGAGGCATTTGCTTAGAAAACAAACAAAAAAGCACAAGGAGATTGTTTAAATCTCAGAGAGCGTTTTTTAAGGCATGTGATAAGTACTGCATGCTACCAGCGAATGGGCTAATTTTGACCGACCCTCAGTATTTCCTTCAGGAAGTTTGGCAGGACCCATACTTGGTAGTTCTTTAACAGCTTGAAAAATAAGAAAGTTATAATTCTTCACAGGGGTCTGGATTTTCCTTCTAAATTCATTAATCCAGACTCAGCATATGAGAATTCTGCAACAGGCCCTGTGTTTCATAGCAAGCCGTGGAGGGAGGTGCTCACTGGAGGAAGCTAAAGGACATTTGGAAGCTGCTCCCCAGTGGTCCTGCAAGCTTGCATGCTTAGGGGACTCTGGTTGTGTCCTTCTCTGGGCTGCTTGGGTTAGAAATGGGGCCACTCCAAGGAAGACAAGCCCATCTCCTCACTTGGAAGCAGCAACTGCCCAGGGCTGTTGGATGATTCTCTCTCGTAGCCAGCCAGGTTCCAGTCCAGCCTCTGTGTGGAAGGAGGAAAGGCAAGGTGCAGGAGGTGGTTTCAGGAAAGGCTCCTGGTCCCCCATGTGTCTGCAGAGACAGTGAGTCTGCACTTCCCTGCCTGGAGTCCATTCTTACTTCTTTTGCTCCTGTTCTCTAAAGTTGGTGATACATTGACTCCTTTGAATGAAACAGGAAAGTAAGATTTTTTCGTCCCTGTTTGATCAGAAGGAGAGAGACAGAGGAAGGGAAAAAAGAGGTAGAGGGGGGAGAGAGTAAGTGGGAGACAGAGAGAGGGAGAGATGGGAGGAGAAGGAGATGAAGGAGACACAGGAAAGGCAAAGAGATTTGGAGAGATGGTGGATTCTAACAGAAGCTTCACTGTCAGTTCCCCTACAGGGTCAGCCCTGAACAGCCTCTGTCACATTGGCCTAAACTTATCTCTGCATCTATTTCCCCTTGTGCAAGATTCAGAACTGCTTGCTCCAAAGAAACAATAAAAGCATTCATGGTTATACGAATTGCACAGGTAAAAAAGTTAGTGTACTGATATTGCTGTGTTTTCTATTGATTTGGTTAGCTTTTGCCTGGAATTGTTTGGGTTTCCCATGCAAAGTAGAAAATCACAGAATATTTTTGTGAAATAATTCCTTCTGGCATCTCCCTTTATAGACCTAATGGTCTTGATTTTTCGTTTTGGTGAAACTTTGTGGAAGCACACCAAAAATTTATTTTTGTGATTAACTCCATTCACTGAATCAGCTCCTTTTTTAGTTGAGACCAATCCCATTTTCTGTTTGACACTTGCATTCCTTCCACGTGGCATCAGAGGGGCTAACTTGGTGCTTTATAAACTGGGTGCAAAGCCTAGGTGGGACTCATGGTTACGAGGGGACGGGTTGGGATTTAAGTACCCTTCAAGTCACTGTTTTTATCATCCTAAGTGATGCACATTTAGAGTGAGGGGAGTTTGGAGAAGCTTGGTAAGTCAATACTGTGAAGTGAGACATGTCAACCACAGAAGTCACTGGCCCTATACAGACTGGCTCCTGGGCCCCAGCTCAGAAATTATTAAGAATTTCTACATAGGGCATGAACAGACATTACACCAAGGGACCCTCTGAGCATGGGCCCCTGAGTAACTGCACTGGTCACAAGTCCATGAAGTTCCCCAATGCCAGAGAAGGTTTGGCTGAAAGTGTGCATGAAAATTGAAGTGTGGTGGATTGCATCACAAAGGTCCACATTACCAGGGCGGGAAGTGGTTCTAGAGCTTTAATGACAAAACACAGAGGTAGAGCTTCAGGTTCCTCCCATGCACCGCTGTCCCCAGGGTTCTCACTAAATTCGCTCTAGGTGGTGTTCTCTGCAGCTTCACCTTCCCCTCTCCCCCCAGTTCCCTCCAAGAGACATCTGCATTCTCTTTGTGACATGACTGTCTGGAGTAGGGGTTACCACAGGGCAGGGTCTGACTGGGGACCAGCCACAGGGCAGATGGTGGAGATTCTGGCTTGTAATATATTCACACATCTTGCCACCTGAACGATCAGGCCAATGTGTCCAGTGGAACACAGTGTCCAGCAATTCTGCCCCAGACAGCACATCTAGAGGGTCATCCACCATCTCTTGGCAGGTGTTTTCTCCTTTGGTGCTTGGGTGGGGTAGCCTTTAGCCAGGCCTTTGGAAACATTTTCATCTTTTAATGAGAACTCATCTTTTAATGAGTACTCAATCTTTTATTGAGTACAATAATAGGTTTTAATCAATTGTTAAATAAATCAATTGAGTGGCCATAGCCCTTAAAAATAATGATGGCAATGATGCATATTGGTTAAATAAAAAGATGTGTATTAAATGAAAAATATTTTGAAATAGTACATTTGGAATATAAATGTACTTTCTTTTTAAAAGAGCACAGAAACACATGGAAAAAAATATTAGTTTTAAGTGGTGGGGATTAAAAGCATTGTCTCCTTTTTTTTTTTTTTCTTTGTTTAAGTTGTCAAAACCTCTATCTGTCATGTAGCAAAAAATTCAAAGTAGGCATTCCAGAAATTTTGTGTTCAAGTCATTGTTCCAATAAGATTTGACTTTTGTAGTCTTCATTCAGCAATGCTGGGACAGTTGGGAAGGGGTTTGTTACATACCACCATAATTAAGTCCTTACTTCTCATGTGAGTGCTATACAGAAAGTACTAAGATTGTTCTCAGTTGAGTCTCATTTCTTTATTATGATAATGTTTGGACTGTTTCAGAAGAATCCTAGGATACTGCTTTTTTTTTTTTTTTTTTTTTTTTTTTTTTTTTTTACAGTAGAAGTGCAGGCAATGCTAGGCACATGGCTTTTCTGTGGTTGGCTCTGGGTCTGCTTTGTCTTGTATCAGTTGCTAGTGACCCTCACTCTGGGACTGGAGCACATGTGAGATATAGGGTCTTTTTCTCTTCTCTGGCTCAGGCAGTTCTCCTAAGCCATGCACCCGCCTTGAAAGTTCACAGCACACTCAGACCAGTTCAGTGCCTTTCAAAAATAGACAAAACCTTTCCCCATACAGAAAAAGGAACTGTCATTTATGTCCTCTTCGTGACTAATACTGGTATTCCTGAAATTGAGAATACATATTCCACATGTACCATTAAAGATTTTAAAGATGTAAAGCTATATAAGGTTATATGTATAACACATGTAACTATAATACATAAAATTTTAAATATCTTCCCACACACTATTCAGCCTAACAGAGAGAGGGTAAGGACCCTGAATCTTCCATCAGTTTCCAGATCTCTGCTGAAAACAGGCTTCAGCTCACATCCACACATCTGAACCCAAGAGACAGAGATAGCAAAGAAAAAACGGGGGTGGGGGCTGGTTTAGAGTCAACAAATAGCTTCAGTTTGCTAGTTAGTGAGGGGTCTCTTCCAAAGGCTTTCTAAGCAGAGAGTATAATGATCAGACTTTGTTGAGGTCACTTTCTGCTGGCCACAGATTTCTTATCTACAGAGCTGCCAGATGTCATATATTATGGGTGCCAGAGAGTTGCAGGCCAGGAGCCCAAGTGCAAAGCACAGCACTCCCCTAACTTCTACCCCACTGATATTGGGTCCCTTCCCATTTGTAGTGCCTCACAGTGCAGCCTGTGGTACATTCCCTGTGGCCACTATAGGGCAGCATCTCTCCTGTTTGTATTTGTAAATTTAAACCGATCTGAGAAGCCAGCCCCCTGTCAGCAAAACAGGAAGGTTTGGGCCCTCTCCTGGCTTGCACTGCCGTCACTTCTCCCTGAATAAGAGTGCTTGCTGGTAGAGTTTGAGGGCCAGGTCTGAGGAAGAGTGAGGGACAAGGACAGCAGTGCCTGCGTTGCCCATCTGCCAGGCTGGAGGTGTATTCATTATTGATGGAGGTAGTGCAGTTGCTGCTCAGATATGCAGCCTTGCCTGGGTAAATGAGACATTCTTCAGCAAATTGCTTCGTTTTTTGATTGCTGATTGTACGCGTGTCACCAAGCTGACTCAAGGTTCATCGATGCATGCTCAGTAAATTAGAAAGAACATAACTATGGATCAGCCAAGAGAATGAATTCTGTGCCTACAATGACCCAGGGCCATTTAATTTTCTGCTTAATTTTGTTGCAGTCAGTTTGCATTTTGGGTTATTATGCAGTAGGAAATTAACAATAAATAACAAATTTGGTCCTCCTGTGCTTGTAATGATATTTTTATAAATCTTTGTAATGCTGTTTTTAAAAGGATCAAGGTCTGTGCCAGTCAGATACTCCAGCAAGTATGTGAGGAGGAAAATGCATTATTCTTGCTAGATAACCTTGTTGTTAAATAGCATAAGGGTTCTTTATCTCTCTCTCCCCCTCTCTTTTTCTCTCTGTCTCTCTCACACACACATATTAGTATTTTTGCTTTAAACTAAAAAATCCCTTCCTCTCTTTCTCAGATAACCTGGAGACAATGGATGCTGATGAGGGTCAAGACATGTCCCAAGTTTCAGGTGAGACCTTATGGGATACCTGTATAGCCAGGAGTCAAGGCATCTGCAATGCTCATGGGGAGGCAGAGGGGCTATTCTGCAAAAGATAAGACCCAGCTGGAATTTGTGTCTGTTTACTTCAACTTTAACAAATGATCCCAGTTTGAGAACCTGAACAGGGAAAAAAAAACCCATAACATAATTAATTTAAGTGTTAAATCTGATAGTAAGTTGGAAATAATTAAATATATGTTGCATTTCTAGGAGAAACAGTTGCATATGGGTCCACCCTAGAACCTAAGGACATGCCAAAGATAGTATTTAAAATAAAGGGAGGGAGGGGGGAGACAGAAAAGAGGAGAAAAATAACTTGAAAAACCCAATAGTGCAGTCCAGTTCAGATTATTTGAATATTTGGTAAGAATAGAAATAACATGGATCCATTTTAAATTATATCTTTTCAAAACATTCTGGGAAAAGCTCTTGTCATCTTAGGAAGCCCAGAAAGTGGAGAAGTCACTAATGGAGACCTTAAGGGTGGGTAACAGACTGTCCTGTTCAGCACCACTGAGGATGGGCCACTAGCCAGCGTAGCAAGACCTGCACAGCTCCCAAATGGATAACACAGGAAGTCCATTTGTCTGGCACTGTACCTGGACAGTACCAGGAAGTAGTAGAAGCTTCCTGGACTTTGGAGTTTTCAGTATTTTATGTTTTAGAACTTCACAGGCTTATTACCAATCCAGGAAAACAGGCCTTCATGTCACACTGGTCAGTCAATGCCATGGGGTCCTTGGCTAAACTGCCCCCTCCTGTTTTGAAGTTTTTATTGAATTTTGAATTTTAGTCTAAGTCAGTGTTTGTAACGGACATCTACAAGGTGCCTCCCTATCCCATGGCTGCTTACTGGAGAATGTGCAGAAAATATTCAGGTGCCATCAAACTGGAGACAGAATTATGGCAAGTCACAGGTGTCTCCCTCCTCTACTCTGCCATCTCCACCTTTTCCCTTGTAACATTTTGGACATAAACTCCCCAAGATGCAAAGAAAAAAAAAAGCCAACTTTTAAAATGTGGCCTTCAGATGCTTCGTATACAACTGGAACAAGTAAAAATTGGTCTACAAGTGCATCATTTTCTGCACAAGCTAAAATTGTATGTATTCTACAATTTAGCAACTTCTCTTTAAGAAATTTACTTTGAGAATAGAGTCTCACAAGTATAAAGAATATTTAAGCATGTGTTGTTGTAGCATTGTTATAAATACTTAAAATCTGTGATGTATCCATGCACTCTTACATAATAGCTCTTAAAAATGAGGAGGATATGAATATACATGTATAGAAAGAAAATATTATGAAAATGAAAAGGCATGTGAAGTATGATCCCATTATTTGCAAAAACCACAAATTTTACACACATACACACTTTTTCTATATGCTTACATATATGTTTATGAAAATTCTGGAGTGGTATTTATTAAGTTGGATTCCCTCTTAGAAGATGGGTGTTGGAAGGAAAGAGGTGAGTTAGTTATGGTATAAGTATACACACTTAGCCTAACAGAAGTTGACATGTTACTGAATCATCCCCTTTTTCATAAAAAGTCAAATATCAGCAGTTTCTTAGGATTCCACCTGAATACTTGAAAAATAGCAAAATACTTACTATTTGCCTTTTTTCAAACCACTCGCTTCCTTTTTTTTTTTTTTTTTTTTTTTTTTGGCTCTATCCTAAAATTGTGGACCACGTCCTCAGTATCTTGCAGATAGTAGGTGCTCAATAAATGTTTACTGACTTGAATCCATGTAAATTAGGAAAATGTTATTGGTAGGCTTGGAGGAGAGTATGCCTAAAGCAAGCTTTCCTTTCCTTTAAGGTACATCTCACTAAGTCTTTGGGTAACATTTGTGTTGTCTTGTTCTTTCTCAGCATTCTTTCCAAATATTTAGTATGCATATGCATTATGTTTTTCATTTGGTTTCTGAAGAAAGAGTCAGTCTGGAAGAGTGAAGGATGTTAAGAGACCTATCCTAGCATGCATCTCTGGCTCCAGCTGTGGTACCCAAGGCTTTGCCTCCTGGATCACTGTAGCATCTATAACAGGAAAGATGGAAACAGTAACAGTAAATCTGTAACAGTTGGTCTTTAAAGTTCCTCAGATTATTAGAACCCTAACTATGTATTGAATATATTCTTTTCTTTTAAATAATTTTTTTTAGTTGTAGATGGACACAATACCTTTATTTTATTTATTTATTTTTATGTGTTGCTGAAGATTGAACTGAGTTCCTCATACATGCAAGGCAAGTGCTCTACCACTGATCCACAACCCCAGGCCCTGTATTGGATATATCCTTAAAGATCTTTTTAATATGTTTGTTGAAACATGGACATAAACACGCCCTGTAAATATACAGAATCTGATTAGGGAAAGGAAGCTTATATATATTGAAATAGAAATGGAAATATTTATCTAGTTAATCATAGTAAATCACATTGATTAAACACCTTACATTAACCAAATGCTGTCCTAAGAGATTCCTCATTTTATCTTACCAGGACCTACTGAAAGAGATACAGTTAACATCTCCAAATTATAGGTAGCTGAGACTCAGAGTTTAAATGACTGACAAGAAAACCCAATATCCCTATGGGGCATGAGCCTCACCTGAGCCCCAGAGCGCAAATGCCTCTACTCATCTATGGAGCTGGGTTTCTATGTTCTGAACTTTTATTTACCCCAGGATTTATATTCTATCATGTAATTATATATTTTAAAAACTTGTGGGACTGGGATTGTGGTTCAGTGGCAAAGTGCTTGCCTAGCATGTGTGAGGCACTGGGTACAATTCTCAGCACCATATGTAAATAAATAAAGGTTCATTGACAACTAAAAAAATATTAAAAAAAAAAAAAAACTTGTGCATTTGGGAGCAGGGGAGAGTTCGCAGAATTTTGCTGGGTAAATTATAATTTGAGAAATCATTGCTTGAATCTGATAAGCAAATGATACAATTTCTCATCTAAGTGGCCCACAAAAACTTCTCATAGGCAATGCTTCATTTGACACATAGGCAATAATAAACTAAATATAAGTCCGTATATTTATAATTTAGCTAGAAGTTTCTTTCATTTTTCCAAGTGAAGTTTTATCACCTTTTCTAAATTATCATGACTGTTAATACTTGCTGTCTTGCTGGCTGCATCTTTGAGGTAGCCTATCAGTGTGCATGCACTGCAGGAAAAGAGGGGAGCTGATAATTATACCTGTTGTGTGTTTCTGTAGTATGTTACAGGTTACCAAATATTAGACTTCATATTCATCATTTTTATTTTCGTCTTCACTACAACCCTATGAATTAGGCCAAAATCATGTTTTTAGCTTCCTTTTACACTTAGGGTAAGAGTTTTTAAGGTGTGACCCATCTCATGTTCCCATCAGTCTTCCAGACTGGTGAAACCAGAATTGTATTCCAGGTCCACAGCCTCCTTATCACCCCTTGTTCATATTTGGGGATGTGTTGACTTGATTTAACACATCATTTTCTAAATCTTTTGTCATCTTTATATGGTCTTGTATTTGAATGGTTAACTGGGCAAATATGTTGAAAGTCAACATGTAAAACGAATTTGCCATCATGAAAGTTTTCATGAAACCATAAATTTTTCTCCTGGAGATCTTCCAGCGGTAAAAGAATCCAAGGGTTCCTGGGTACAGAGGCTTACCTGAGGGATTAATGTCTCAGCAACGATGACTCACACTGGGGAGCTTTTAGGCAAATCAGATGATCTCTTAAAAACCATCCCTGAGTTAAGTGGAGGCAAGGCTGAATTAAGACCAAGCTCTTGGAGGGCATGTGAATATATCCAACTTTGCTCCTTCTGGTTCTGCCTTTTTGCATGATGCCCCTGGCGCACTGAGATAGGTTTTTTATCCTCCCTTTTCTCCATGTGGTTTCTTCTGCATAGGGAGCTCCTATTGATCATTCTAAATCACGGTATTTTAGAATCATGATCCCTACTGTTTTCATTACTCCTTTTTGCCCCCATGCAGGAAAAAATAAAAGTACTAAGATAACAAGGTCAGGGACACTGGAGAGCTGGCATTTCAGTGCAGAAACTTAAGACAGATATAAGTTTTAAGAAGCACATTTATTATTATGAACATCCTCCACAAGCTGTAATTAGTATTGTTCCCTAACAGATGTATCCCTTAAATTTTTAAAAGAGTAATATTAGAGAGTTTTTTTTAAAGATGCATTTTAGCATGAATTGAGCAAAAAGTATGACATTCCTTCATTGGCTAAGTCACAATTCTTTATCATTGTCCTTTGGCTCTTAGGTGCTCTAGCACCTACACGGGCCCAGAGGGTCATAAAAGACACCAAATTTATAGGGAAGATCATATAAAAAGATAAGTCCAAAAGGTTGTTTCTTAGCCTCCACCCCCATTCCACAATGATGACACCTGATTAATCCCAGAGATGAAAGTGCATCTGGCTGGCCTTGTACGCTTTAAATCATGGGCCAGAGACTCCACTATCTGATCCTTTAGTGGGTCTTTGAAATGAAAAGCTGGGGCCTCCGAGGTAGCCTATCAGTGTGCATGCACTCCATCTGTCCCACCCTGAAGTGTTCATACTTATATATTTTATATATTAAAGTTCTGTATGAGATTATGGTGCTATTCTTACCAAAAATAAATAAATAAATAAAATTCCTTTTACCACCTTCCTAAAGTCCTTAGAGTTTGAAAACCATTATTCTAGGTCACCATCTTAGGGAAGTAAAAGTAGTCAGAGGGTTCATATCCCTCCCACATCCTCCTATTCAGAGTTTTTTTCTCATTTATGAAAGAGGTGAAGAAACCAACACTAAGACATTTAACTATGGTTATATTTAAGGCCTTCTGTTTAGGGCAAAGAAAATAGTACTGACTTAGTGCACATGTCCAAGGCTTTTGCGTAACCTGAGCACTTTCAATCAATTTATCTCTGGCCTTTTGTTTTTCTTTGGGAAATTCTTCTAATCCTACCCTATCTTTAACTATTCATCTTGTATTGGCTATCCAAATATACCCAATAATGCTCCTTCTGAAAATATGCCAATTGCACTAATTACAGCTAAGCTGGAATATTAAATTGTGATGTCTGTTTCCTAGAGAATGCAGTATTATTCCCCAAAGTATATCCTTGGTGCCTGTGCAGGTTCTATTTTAAAGATTCCAGTAAAGGTTGTTTCATGTATTGGGAATGATTTTATTGGTCTTGCCAGTCCCCTAAAATTAATTCTTGTAGGAGGTTGTTTACTCAAACTTACAAGGAAATTTTACACCATATCTAGTCATGTTTTCTAGAAATTTTAACATTTGATTTGTCATTTACATGCTTTTGTAAAAGTCTGGGTTTTCTCTGTGGGAAGCTCACATTGTCTGTAAAACCTGGTGGCCAGCGCAGCAAGCATACAACCCCAATCTGTTGTTGTTCTATTGGACTTCCTTTAGGATATTCATCCAAACTGATCTTCTGCAAGAAGCTGTGATAGGTTAGTTTGCATCTGCTTTGGTCCTTCTCTGCCATGTCTTGGGTATAATCTATGCCTTATAACTGGAGTTTAAGTTAGCTCTGAAAGGGTAGAAGCTATAGGAGTTTCAATCTCCATGGGTAGAGAGCATTTTTTTTTTTTAAACCGGTTATGCCTTCCCAATATTGGATTCCTCAGAATGGGAAAGAGTTCCCCATTCCTAGAGGGTTTGGCTAAACTTAATTCTAATCAAAATAAAGATGATATCCTATAAAGCCCAATTTCATTTGGCAAATCATACTTCGTGAATTGTGAAGAACCTTTGTGTTTTCATGAATTATATTTTATTCCTATTTCAAAGTGAAGTTTCATTGATAGACTTTTTTTTTTTTTTTTTTTGCATGCAGGGAGGGACTTGTTGCTCCAGTAGGCATGGAGCCCTTCCATCCCTCTCCAGGCATCTTCTGCCTACCAGGTTAAGTTGGGCGGCTGTCAAAAGAGTTCATGGCTCTTGAAAAGAAAGTAAACAAACCCAGGATGCATGGGTCTGAGCAGGATCCTAGCATGAGGGTGGGTGGGGCAGGCTTGTGGGGAATGAAAGGGAACCACTTTATTGGGGAAAGCTTCATCGAAACATGTGAAGAACTTTAAAAATGTAGATGCCTTTGGACCCAGTCAGAAAACTTCTGGAGATTTACACAGTGGTAATTATTAGGGATATGTACAAAGACTGGCTGGTAGGTGTTCATCGGTGTTGTTTAATAATCAAAAAGGATGGGAAGCAATATAAGTTCAAAGTTAGAAAAAGGATTTAAATAAATCCTGAAGTACCCATTATATGCAAAACTGTAGAGGTATGGGCCCTGGTATGGAAATACGTGCATAAGAATGTCCAAGAGCTAGTTCATTTTGAAGAAACAAAATATATCACCCCGTATTATGTATGTATGTGTGCATACATACCCATTCTGTAACTTTAATAGTGGAAATCTCGAGTTTCTATTTTTGTTTTTCCTTTTTGCATCTTTGTTTATACATTTGTTTTGTGTTTGGGTTGAGGGGACAAAATGATATTCTTTTTTAGAAAGAAAAAATTATTTTATAGGGAAACACTCAATCCAATTACTACCTCCTTATGCCACCCTCTCAAGCCACCAAGGGGAAGCCCAGGCACCCTGCTGGTAACAGCCACAGCCAGAAACTCAAGCTCCTACTTATCTCCTCAGGAAAGGAGAGTCCCCCAGTAAGTGACACTCCGGATGATGGTGACGAGCCCATGCCTGTCCCTGAAGACCTTTCCACTACCTCTGGAGGACAGCAGAATTCCAAGAGTGAAAGAGGAGTGGGTAAGTTGGGTCATCCTGGCATCCTGCAGGCTGTCACCTGCTCTGTTTCTGTGAAACCTCCGTCTCTCTATGTCCTTCCAAGACAATGATTAAGAGATATGAGTCTTTTTCTTCACTGTTTTCCCTCAGCCATCATGTTAAGGAAAAGTGGTGCAGAGATTGGCAGGATGGGGTCCTTTGGTATGAAGGAGGAGGAACCCTCACAGGCCAGTATGGCCTTAAGACCCACATGTCAGCAAAATAGCAGAGGTGAGGGTCACCCACCCTGCCATGGCATATGTCTCCATCACGCTCCTCTGTTCTTGATGCACTTTCAGGAATATTAAATTTTATTGGTTGTAGATAATGAAAATTACATATTTTATGTGTTATAACAATAGGGCTATTCTTTTCTCTGGAGCTTTGGATTAGAAGGAGTCTCATCTGGGCCATTTTATTTTATCCTTCTAATCTCTAGTTCTTATGTGGCATATTTAACTGGAAATAGGAAGTGACAGATGGGAATTTTTTTAATGTTAAAGGAAAAAATATAGATTATCTAAGTTAGCAAACATTTACATACATTTTCCCTAAAGGGATGGGTATGAAACCTTCTGAAATCACTTTACTAGTTAACTTATACATGCTACTGTTCATGTTTAGAAAACTTTGTCTTCCTTTTCTCATTACAAGAAGACAGAGGCCCAGAGAAATTCAGTGAACTCACCAACGTCAAATGGTGGAGTCAGAATTAAACTCATTGTCTGACTCAAAGATTAGTTTTCACTCTACTATACCATGTTCTCATGAGCTAATGAGTCATTAGTTCCCTGGAATAGTAATTTTTCTTTTTTGAAAAAAAGATAAATCTATGATATAAGAGCACCTACTTATACAAAATCATGTCATGAAGGTACAAAGATACAGAAGTCAGGGAGGCTGGATGGATATATCTTAGCTCCATAAGCCCTCACTGCATGTCTTTCTATAGGACATCCTGACACAACAACTGAGAAACTTCCTGTATGTTTTCATGTGTCCTAGAAACAAAGTTTACTTTGGGTATAATGACTGTCTTTTAATTTAGCTGTACCTTCTGGCTCAAGTAAATAAGGATAGTGGCTAAAATCATATGGTGTAGATGAACACAGAGAATGAGTACCTTTATAAATTCTTTTCTCCCTTTTAGTAAATGGCTACTCTTGTGTGGGAAGGTAGATGGGAAGAGAAATTTAACACCTGTCCATCATTCTTCTGTTCTGCGAAGACAGCCACATACATCATTTCAGAATTTCCCCAAGTTGAGATTCAGATGATCACACAGTTTTTTAATGGATGTTCTTATTTTTAAGATTACCTTTGATTTACTGTTAAGTGATACTGGTGTTCCCATAGACTTTCAAAACACATTTATGTAAGTTGAAAGGTTAATTTAAATAAAAACATTAAGACACTGATGGTACATATACACAGTAAAAATTTGCATTAGTGACATATGAATAACTAATGTGGGGTTGCCCCAGGGTTTCCTCATTGGTTTAGTCCCTGATGCACCCAGTGCAATGGGAGTAGTGTTCTTCCCACTTACTCTGAGCATAAACCAAAATGCTCATGCCTGAGATGTTCATATAGCCAAACAAGGGGCTTAGGGACCAGGAACCAAAATTATCCATTGACCATGCAATATACTGTGAGCCCAGTCATCTGAGTTAGGAGCTGGCTCTGGGTCCTTATGGAAAAAGCAGTAGACTCAGCCCTGAAATCTCTGTAGCTATTGTGGAGCCTCCACGATGCCCTCAGAGCCCTCACAGTGTGGGCATCCTTTGGGGAACTGAAAGTCAGGCTGATTCCTGGAGAGTAGAGACAAGCATGCAATTCACTTGGGATAGATAAATAAATCATTATTATAAATACCTGCAAAATAGCCTGGTGATGTCTCCCTTAGGAACTTTGCACTGAGGGGAATTGCCTCTGGGTGAGGATCTCCCAGCCTCAGTTGGAACTGCTGGCTGGCTGCCAGGGTGGTGTTCCCTTCATTCAGAGTCCAGTGCTCAGTCCCAGATTTAACTAGTGCAAGCATTTGCCTGGAGTTGGGGTGGGCTTGTCACTTCCTGGGGGCTCGTCACTTCTTGGGGGCTCATTTCAGTGCCCCTTGTCATGTGTGACTTGATTTTTAGGCCAGTTTTCCTTTCCGGATGAAGTTTAGAAAGCAGGAATTTCAGAGTTGTGAGATTGAAAGACCCTGGAAAACCTCTTTGCTGGGTTAGAGAGTAGCAGTTGACCTCCCTCTGTGGACAGGCAGGAAGAGCTGTTTGATGTGGGCCCAGGGATATCTGCAGTGTAGAGGTCCTTGTGGGCTACTGGAGGCCAAGGAGCGATTCTTCAGAGCCAGGAAGCAAAGGCTGCAAAAGCCCAGAAGTCACATCAAACACCAGACAGGAGAGGTGTGGGGACAGGAAGTAGGAGTGAGAGGACCCAGAAGACCCACCCATAGAAACAGATGTCAGGAGAAACCATGCTACAAGGCGACCACATTTAGAGACTGTCCTATGTGATTCTTTAAGGAAATGAGCAAGCGTTAGTATGTGATCATAAGTTGTTTGTAAGGTAATTTGTAGTGTGTAGCATTAAATAAAAGGAGTATGTAGGAAACAATATGAAAAGTTAGGGAAAATTCATAGATTAAAGGAAATACATTTGATGCTATGTTTCATCAAATTATTCAATGGAAGTGGGTCAATAGAACAAAGGTATATAAAAAACAGACCCAGGAAACTAGAAGAATTCCCTCACTGAGACAAAAGTGTAAGGTAGGCAGTAGGAAAGGGTATATAAAAGGAGTGGTGGCCTGGCAGAGAATGTGACAAGCCAGAACCCTTCTTGTGACTCAGGGCAGGTTTTCCTCTCTGAGCCTCAGGTTTTTTTTTTTTTTTTTTTTGGTTCTAGGGATTGAACCCAGGGACTCTAGACCACTGAGCTGCATTCTCTGCCCTTTCAT